GAAGGCTGCAGAGAGAGCCCTGAGAATACCGAGTCTAACTAGCGCCCCTCTTAGATACCATGGGCGGCACAGTACATGAGGTGCTGGACTCGGAGTCCCACAGACATGGGTTCAAATCCTATATCAGACATTTCTTAACTGTGTGACCAGGTGCAAGTTCCTTCACTTCCCTAAATCTGTTTCTTCTACTCTAAAATGGGGATAATAGTAGTATCTGAGGATAAGTAAGAATATTGGGAATGCTTTGCAAATCTTAAAAACGCTATAAAGATGTGAGCTAGCATGATTATTACGCAATATATAATTGTTTTGTTGCTTAATTAGCTGTCTGAGGGAAAGCTAACAGCGATTGTCGTTTATAATTTACATGTTATTTACTTGCTGTGGTTCCAAATTCACTGGATCCCATATTTCTCTTTTTTCAGTGTTAGAACCCTTAGATAATATGATATATAATAACAATATACAAAAATACAATTTAATAATATAATAACATGATATGATTATGTTATATATAATTATATAATAATCAGCAAACAGTTATTTAATGTCTACTATGTTCTAGGCACTGTGTTAAGAACTTTACAATTATTATCCCATTTGACCCTCACAACGACCTTGTGAGGTAGATGTTATTATTGTCATCCCCATTTTACAGATGAGAAAACTGAGGCAGAGGTTAAAGAGACTTGCTCAGGGTTACACAGCTATTAACTGTCTGAGACTGGATTTGAACTCAGTGCTCTCTCCATCACGCCACTTAGCTGCTTTGCACATTATACCAACACATTCTTTACTTTCTCTTCCAGAATGATTCTTTTCCTTTTTTTTTTTTGTGCTAGGCAATGGGGTTAAGTGATTTGCCCAGGGTCACACAGCTAGTAAGTGTTGTGTGTCTGAGGCCGGATTTGAAGTCAGGTCCTCCTGACTCCAGGGCCGTGCTCTATCCACTGAGCCACCTAGCTGCCTTCAGAATGATTCTTAGCCTTGGCAAACCCCTGACTTACTGCTTTATCAGCCCAGCTTATGTCACTGTGTCCCAGACACACCATTATGACTGACACTGAATATTATGGGGAGACATCGTGACACAGAGGAAAGATTGGAGTCAAAAAACCCTGGGTTCACATACTCTCTCTATTAAATGTGGGATTTAGATCAAGTCTCCTCATTTCTGAATCTCAGTTTCCTTATCTGTAAAGTGAAGAGATTGGACTAGGTCTCCTCTGAGGCCTTTTTCAGCTTTAAATGCATGCTTCTTGACTGAGGAAACATGAATCACATCAGTGATAATAATAATGACTCATACTCATAAAACCCCTTAAGTTTTCCAAACTGGTTGTCTCAGAAGTCTTAGTGCAGAGGCAGCTAGGTGGTGCAGTGAATAGAGCACTTGTTCTGGAGTCAGGAGGACTAGATACTTACTAGCTGTGTGACCTTGGGCAAGTCACTTAACCCTGATCGTCTCACCAAAAAAAAAAAAGTCTTAGTGCAAATTTTAAACTTTAATAGCTTGAAAAACTTGTACGAAGATTTTTAGGGACACTCTATATATCATCTCATCTCAATACACAAGTATAAAAGCATTTATAATTTTGACTAAATGATTACAGACTATACTTAGCATAATTTTTCCTTCAATGTGAATTAAAACCCTGGTTTCATTATCCTCTAAACAGTTATACATTTGTTTTTCTTAATATCTGTTTCACTGATTTTTGAAGGACCAATGTCAGAATTGCCAAATGGAAATTTCCAGGCCTATACATCTTTTCTTGAAGATCAATAGCTTATTTTCTTGCTTCCAATGCTCTCTCTGGTCTTTCTTCAGTTCTCTATTTCTTCCTAAATCACAATAGCTAACATACTACCACTATCACTCTCAGAATTATTCAGTAAGATTATGGAACCACGAGCAGGATGATAGAGCAGACAAACCACTGGACTTGTAGTCAAGCTGTTTTCAGTTGTGTCCAATCTTCATGACCCCATTTAGGGTTTTCTTGGCAAAGAGAGTGGAGGGGTTTACCATTTCCTTCTCCAGCTCATTTTTATAGATAAGGAAACAGAGACAAACAGGGTTAAGTGACTATCGCAGGGTAACACAGCTAATAAGCATCTGAGGCCAGATTTGAACTTAGGAAGGTGAGTCTTCTTGACCCCAAGCCTGGCGTTCTAACAACTTCACCACCTAGATGCCCATAGTCAGAAGACCTGGGTTCAATTACTGGCTCTGCTATCTGTGTGACATTGGGCAGATCACTGTCTGCGAGCCTCTCTTTTCTCATGTATAAAAGGAGAGGGTTGGGCCAGATGGTCAGCTAAGGGCCCTTCCAGACTTCAGTGGATGATTCGAGGGGCCCTTCTGTGTTGGATCTATGTCTCTGCGTTTAAATGTCATGTTCTGGGTATTCTGAATGGTCTGTACAGAAGGACAGCCAGGTGGCACAGTGGATAGAGTGCCAGGCCTGGAGTCAGGAAGAGTCATCTTCCTGAGCTCAAATCTGGCATCAGGCACTTGCTGCTCTCGGCCAGGAAAACCCCAAACGTGGTCATGAAGAAGAGCCGGACACAACTGAAGCATGTGCACAGCCACAGCCGCCCTGAATGCTGGCCTCACGTTGTTAATGCTGCGTAGACATATAGAATATAAATGTCTATCCTTAGTGCCTAGCTCATAATAGTCACTTAGGGTTATGGTGGGGGGAAGAAGAGGGAATAAATATTTATTAAACATCTACTAAGGAGCAGTTAGGTGACGCAGCGGATACAGCTCCGGCCTTGGAGTCAGGAGGACCTGAGTTCAAATCCAGCCTCAGACACTTAACACTTACTATCTGTGTGACCCTGGGCAAGTCACTTAACCTCAATCACCTCACCAAAAAGCAAAAAAACAAACAAAAAAACACATGCTAAGTACCAGGTACTATTGAATCCTCATAACAACCCTGGGAAGTAGGTGATATTATCATCTCCAATTTGCTGTTGTTATCCTTCATTCTTGAAGAGGACCAATGACATCAGGAGGGTGATGTCTTGACTTGCAAGTGAGTTGGATTTAAGTGAGGCAGGGCTATGCAAAGCATCAGCCTCCCTTTCTCCTTTAGAGTCATCAGAGTCTAATGGCAAGACATGGGTCAGGATGACTGGTGATGGCCCGGGATGCAGTGGGAGACCTTGGCCTTTTTAAGCTAAGATCTTTTCCCAGGTCTCAGTTTGTCTGAGGCAACACCCATTCAATAGTTAAAGGCTAGGTAAGAAATGAGGTAAAAGATGGTCTGTTTTGCCTTTACAAAAGAATCAGTCAGGGAGGGGAAGACCCTCAGAGTTTCTCTATCCCCAGTTTACAGAAGGAGAAACTGAGGCAGAAAGCGTTAAGTGATTTGCCCAGGGTCACACAGCTAGTAAGTGTCTGAAGTCAGCTTTAAACTCGGGCCTCCCTGACTCCAGGCCCAGTACTCGATCCACTGAGCCACCAGCTGCCTCGCTAGAGTACAATACAGCCCAGCCTGTGACAGGGTGGTTGAATGGAAAGAACCTTGAACTTGTACCTCATTGCTCTAAGACTCCATGTTGTTAAATGGTAGTCAGATGACTTGTGTGCCTTGGGTGTCCAGCTCCACCACTTACTAGCTCTACGACCTTAGGTGAGTTGCTTAAACAATGAGCCTCACTTTCCTTACCTGTGTAATAGGCATAATGTCCTGGGGTTTTGGGGGGCTGGGGAAGTGCTACATAAACTTGTTATAATTGGGAGGTCCTTAAGGAAAAGGCGACCTGTTGGCATGCTAATCCCAGGGAAATGGGGGTCACTCACAAAAGGCCTTGAGAGCTCTTTTCTATACAATCAGAGCTATAACTAGGAATAGCCCAAAAGGTTATAGATTTAGAGCTGAAAGGGATATTCGAACACACAGAATCCAATCCCACCGTTGGACTGATGAGGAAACTGAGGCTCAGAAAAGTGAAACAACTCACCCAGATATTTGTACTTGGGGTAAATGGGAGTTGGCACTGGACGTTAGAAGGACAGTCTGGCAATGTGCTTATGCCAGGATAGGAGGTACTGGTCTCTTAGTCCAATCCTGATCCCCATGGAGATTGGGAAGGAATGGGGTGCCATGGTTATAGAGGGCTTGAGACCCCTGGGATTGGTGGCCTGGGCATGGTTGCACCTCTGCGAAACTCAGGAAGTAGTCTGGTACCTGGGCCATGGACTCATAATAGAACCAGAAAAAATGTAATCCAACCCCTTAATCGTACGAATGAGAAAACTGAATAACAGAGAAATTGAATGATTTGCCCAGGGCCACATAGCTGGTACGATTACCGCAGGGAGGCAAAACTGAATTTTGGTGCCCTGGAGCGCTCCAAACAGCTCTGCTTCCCCCTCCTTTGCACTGTGAAGGGGGATAGCTACCTGTGTAGACACTGAATTTCCTAAAGGCAAAAGAATCAGGTTGAAGATGTTAACAGTAATGAAGATAATGAAAAGATGGCACAGAATCGAGGAGGGGGGAATAAGGGAAGGACCCAGAGACTCAAGGAATTTTTTTTTTATTTCCTGGGCACAGCAGCCACTACGGTGAGTCTCATGTGGCCATACACGTCCCAGCTCTGCTGTCGATACTTCATTCCCCAAATATTTGATCTCAATGCCCTTCCACAAGCTTTTTTTTTTTTTTTGGTGTGGCAGTGTTGGAGTTAAGTGACTTGCCCAGAGTCACAAAGTTAGTGAGTTTAAGCTAGTGAGGTCGGATCTGAACTCAGGTCATCCTGACTCCAGTGTGGGTGCTCTAATCCACTGCACCATCTAGCTGCCCCCTTCCACAATCTTTTGCTGTCTTCTCCTTTAGGTCAAAGCCCTCAAGCCTCTTGGTGGTCTTGGGTAGAAGGATGCACTTTTCTAGTCCAGTGGAAAACATTGGATCAGTGGCATATGCAGATGAAATCATGGTTTCCTGACATCCCTTGTTTCTTCCTTCACTTTTCCCTCCTAGATGAGCTAAGTGTGTGTCCCAAAGGCATTACCTCGAAGGTTTTCCGCTTCAACGTCTCCTCAGTGGAGAAGAATGGAACCAACTTATTCCGAGCTGAATTCCGAGTCCTGAGGGTGCCCAACCTCAACTCCAAACGGACGGAGCAGAGAATCGAGCTCTTTCAGGTGAACTCCCAGCCCTCCCGTCTCCTCCCATCAGCGGTAGCAAAGCTCCTTCCCTGACGAGTGAGAGACTTCCCCCGAAGTGGCAGACCACATCCTCCCATTTGGAAGAGAGCTACCACATTCTTTTACTCCCTGATTCCTCGCAGCCTCAGAAAGGTCAGGATGGACCTTGATATGTGAGAGAGATCACAAGTCCCTAATTTCCACAAATGGCAAGGGGCTGCTACAAGAGGAAGAGTTAGAAGATCTCAATTCTAATACCATCTCTGGCACTTACTCCTTTGAAACTTGGCCAGGTTATTTAACGTTATCAGGCCTCAGTTTCCTTATCTGTAAAAATGAAGGGATTAGACTAGAGGGCCTTTCTGGTCCCTTCCAACTATCAAAAACAATCTCAGGGGCAGCTAGGTGGCGCAGTGGATAGAGCACCAGCCCTGAATTCAGGAGGACCTGAGTTCAAATCCGGCCTCAGACACATAACACTTACTAGCTGTGTGACACTGGGCAAGTCACTTAACCCCATTGCCTAGCCAAAAAAAAAACCCAAACAATCTTGTAGGGCACGTAGGACAAGTGGTATCATCCCCATATGTTTGAAGATAAAAACGAGGGGCCAGAAAGGTTGTGATTTTGAGGTCACACAGCTAGCTAGCAAGAGAACTGAGACTAGAACTTCTTCATCCCAGTGGAGAGATCTTTCACTCTGCTATACTTCTCACATGTGCCATTCCATCTCCCATCTCTGCCTTTGCCTTGGCCACCCCCTAGCATGGCATGTACTTCCTCCTTACCTCTACCTCAGAGTCTTTCTTTTCCTGTAAAACAGCTCAAGAACCATCTTTTTGTTTTTTCAATTTTTCTGAGCTAATTCCCATCCTGCTTGAAGTCTCATGAATTCCTATCGGAGTTTGGGGACATACAATTCTCCCCGACTCCTCTCCCTGTGCCCAGTTGGCTATATACCTCCATGCCTAGAAAGTATGCCTTGCTCGTAAAATGCCTCTCTTCCTTCAAAAAGAGACAGCTAGGTGATGGGAGGTCAGGAAGATCAGGTCAGGAAGACCTGAGTTCAAATCGTGTCTCAGATGTTTACTCGCTATGTGACCCTGGGCAAGTTGCTTAGCCTCTATCTGCCTCAGTTTCTTCACTTGTAAAATGGGGATAATAATAGCACCTCCTTCTCTGGGCCGTTGTAAGGATCAATGGAAATATTTGTGAAATGCTTTGAAAATCTTAACATGCTTTATGTGCTAGCTGTTATTATTATTCAAGACATAGCATAAACATCACCTTCTATGTTCATGAAGTCTTTTTTGATCCTTCCCCAAGCATGAGGGCTCTCCCTCTCCGACTACCACCCACGTATCTACTTTACATGTATTCTCTTCATATTCATTCTGCGTACATGTAATATAGGTAGGAGTGAATGTTATTGTTGGTTTTTAGTCCTGTCCAATTTTTCATGGCCCCATTTGGGGTTTTCTTGTCAAAAATACTGGAGTGGTTTGCCATTTCCTTCTCCAGTTCATTTTACAGATGAGGAAACTGAGGCCAACAGGATTTAGTGACTTGCCCAGGCTCACACAGCTAGTTAAGTGTCTGAGGCTAGGTCTTCCTGACTCCAGGCCCAGAGCTTTATCCGCTGCACCACTAGCTGTGTACACACACACACGGACACATGCATGCAAAATTAACCACATGCATGCATATAAATGTGCATTCATTTACACACGTGCATGAATATTCATGTGCATGCATGCACACATATCGTATCTATGTGTGCACACATGTGTGCATATATGCATGGGCATATGCAATCCTAACACTTGTGTGTGTGCACATGCACATATATGTATGTGTGTACACATGCATACTTGCATTAATATAGGTGTGTGTACACATGGTGATGTGTATATGCATGGACACATGTCGACACATGCATATCACACACGCATATCATACACATACACACGTATATATGTACGCACGCAAGACATACATATGCTTACATGTGTGTAAAGCCGTGTGCGCGCGCGTGGACACACGTGTGTGAGTGTGTGCGCACATATATACATGCAATCACGTTTCCTATTTCCCCGCAGAACTAACGCTCCTTGAGGGTGGTGATTGTTCTATTCTTTCATTTGTACAAATACAAAGTACGGGGCTTGGCACACAGTAGGTGCTTAATAAATGTTGATTGAGGGATTGATGGGGGTTAGGGAGGGGTGGGAAGAAGCGTTATTAAGTGCCCGCTCTCAGCCCGGGGCTGTGCCAGGTAAGCACTTCACACAGAACGTCTCATCCCAGCGGTGCCGGTCCCCCAGCTCTGTGAATCGTTCCCTATCCGTCCCGTACACAGCTTGTCAGCGCACGTCTGCTGGTTGCTTGTTTCCTTCGCGACACTGTGCGCTGCCTTCCGCCTCTCTCCCCATGCGTAGGGCTTGGCCCCGGGTCTGGAACGCGGCGGGTGCGCGGTAAACACTGACTGCTCGGTCGCGAGCTCAGCGCTGTCTCTGCCCCCCAGATCCTGCGGCCTGATGAGCACATCGCCAAGCAGCGCTACATCAGCGGCAAGAACCTGCCCACTCGAGGCGCGGCCGAGTGGCTGTCCTTCGATGTCACTGACACAGTTCGGGAATGGCTCCTGCGCAGAGGTGAGCCCTCCCCTCTCTCTGACCGGCAGGGATGGTTACTTCCCACGGCCGCTGCTCGCGTTCGCCCCTGTCCCATCCACAGTGACTTAGACCCGGGGTGTGGCTGGTCTGGACTTCATTCCGAGGCTACCTGTGTGACCCCTGTTGTTGAAAACATACAAAGAGCCCTGATTTCCTCAGCTGGGGAATATCCCGAGTGACCACTGCCTTGACTCCCTTCACCAGTCAATCACAGGACCATGGATTTAGAGCTGGGGGGAAAAAGGGGCCATTGAGTCCAATCTCCTAATTTTATAGATGAGGAAACTGAGGCATACAGAGGGTAAGTGATTTGCCTAGGGTCACCTGGTTCATAAGTGTCTAAAGCAGGATTTAGAGTAGCTAGAACGTGTAGTGGAGTCGGGAAGACTTATCGTCCTGAGTTCAAATCCAGTCTCGGACACTTCCTAGCTATGTGACCCTGGGCAAGTCTCTTAACCGTGTTTGCCTCAGTTTTCTCATCTGTAAAATGAGCTGAAGAAGGAAATGGCCAACCACTCCAGTATCTCTGCCAAGAAAACCCCAAATGAAGTCACAAAGAATCAAAACGACTGAAAAAAATGACTGAACAATACTCAAGCAGAATTCGGACCCAAAGTCTTCCTGACACCAACCAGTGTCTTATCTATTACTTGGATGTTGTTTCTGCTTTTTAAATGGGTACGAAATGGTAAGTAAGGCTGAGAGGTGGTGGGGTAAGGTCCTTCCACAAGCTCTGAGTGTCTGAAGGGCACAATCCTGTCGATGCTCCCTCTTCTCCCAGCCACCCTATCATTCTCTCCTGCTTCCCTAAGAGAATACAAACAATTCCCTGCAGAACATGCCCTGTGGCTTCCCATTCCGGCCTAATTTCATAAAAACCTAACAAAAATGGAACAGAGAGGAGAGGCCTCTGAATATTAAATTCCTCTTAGACTACTTTCCGATTTTAATTAGGCTCATCTGGATTTCGTTTTATCGATTTATTTTCATGATTGCAGTACTCTGAGAGCAGTGACCAGGATTTCTGACTATCTTGACCTTGATACTTAAGCAACAGACAAGTTGCAATCTGCATTAGTGGAAGTGGTCAAGGGAGAAATCACTCAGGGAGTTCCTCAGTGTGAGGAAATCAAGGTCGTTTGTATATTTCCGTAAACAGTTAACACCTACTCACACAGGGAGCCTAGCTTAGCGGAGACCATTCCATTCACCCCCTGGACATGAGTAATTATGTAACCCATGTTTATTAGGTTTTCCTAATAAACATGAGTCCATCATTAACTCATCATAATAGTTCTGTTACCAGAGTTCTTTGTTTCCCCAAAGACAGATGTTTCCATCAGTGTGGGAGGTAAACAAAAATGTCTTACGTTTATAGGGCATTTTATATTTTTGTGGCACTTTTATATGTTCATTTGACTACCAAAAACTACCTTATGAGGTAGGTAGGGGCAGGGGGTAATGTCGCCATTTGTTTGGAGAGAAAAAAATGGGGGCAGAGAGTTAGAGTGACTTTTCCGAGGTCACATAGTTAACAAGTAGGACAGCTGTCTTGTAGAGTCATTTCAGTACAACTCTTTCGGACTCGTTTGGGGTTTTCTTGGCAATGATACTGGAGTAGTTTGCCATTTCCTTCTTCAGCTTATTTTACAGATAAAGAAACTGAGGCAAATGGGGTGAGTGACTTGCCCAGGGTCACCCAGCTAGTAGGTGTCTGAGGCTAGATTTGAATGCGGAAAGATGTCTTCCTAATTCCCAACCCAGTGCTCTGTGCACTATGGTGCCACCTACCTGCCACAGCTGGTACTAGACTTTCTTACACCCCAGTGGGACAAAGTCTTTGACTTTGCTATGCTTCTCACAACAGGACATTCCATCCCTCATCTCTGTGCCTTTGCATCCACCATCCCTCACACATGGAATGCATTCATTCTTTACCTCTACCTCAGAGTCCTTCTCTTCCCTTAAGACACAGCTCAAGTATCATTTTATATTTTTTAATGAATTTTTATTTTTTTCAAGCAAAGAAAATCTGCTTCCTCTCCTTCCCACCTCTTCTCCCACCCCTGCCCTGATAAAGAAAGAAAAACAAAACCTCTATTACAAACATACATAGTCAAGCAAAGAGGCAGGTAGGTGGTACAGTGGATAGAGTGCTGGGCCAGGAGTCAGGAAGTCTCCTCTTCCTGAGTTCAAAACTGGCCTCAGACACTTACTAGCTGTATGACCCTGGGCAAGTCACTTCACCCCATTTGCCTCAGTTTCCTCATTTATAAAAAAAGCTGGAGAAAGAAATGGCAAACCACTCCTGTATCTTTAAGAAAACCCCAAATGGGGTCACAAAGACTAGATGTGACTGAATAACAAAAAGTTAAGCAAAACAAAGTCTTGAATTGGCCATGTTAAAAAAAATGCTATAATTTGCACTCTTGAGTTCATCACTTCTCTGTCTGGAGGTAGACAGTGTGTTTTGTTTATTTAATTTTTTAGACAGTGTGTTTTATCATGAGTTCTTTGGAACTGTATGTCAGGATTCCCAAGTCTTTCAAAGTTGTTTGTCTTTACAACATTGTCTTTGTTGTACAAATTGTTCTGCTTCCATTCACTTCACTCTGCATCAGTTCATACAAGTCTTCTTAGGTTTCTCTGAAACTGCCCCTTCATCACCTCTTATAGCATAATAGTATTATGTCACATTCATATGCCATAACTTGCTCAGTCACTCACCAATTGATGGCACTCCCTCAGTCTCCATTTTTTTTTGTCTACACACACACACACACACACACACACACAACACACACAAAATAAATATTTTTGTACAAATAGATCCCTTTCTACTTTCTTTGATCTCTTTGGGGTTTAGGGCTAGGAGTGGTATCTCTAGATCAAAGGAGAAGCAAGGTTGAACAACCTCTTGGGCATAGTTCCAAACTGCTTTCCAGAATGGCTGAATGAGCTCATAGCTCTGACGACAGAGCATAAATTTACCTGTTTTCCCATAGCCCAAGCACCATTTTCTACATGAAACCTTTTTTGATTCCCCCAACTTCTCGTGCCCTCCCATGCAGATTACTTGCATTGAACTACTTCATATATAGTTGTTGTTTATTCATTTTCTATTTATATTGAATACATTTAAATATATACTTGTCTCCCTTATTGTAATCTAAGCTGATTAGCCTGCCAGGTAGTAGGCACTTCAATCTTGTTGATTATTTTTAAATCACACATATCTGGAAAGGTGAATTGTTAGCTTTCCCAGTATCATGTTAAGTGAAATGCTGCAAAGTTAGAATCATTCTGGCTCTCAGTGAATGTGGGGATATTGGCCCTGTGTGTCTCCACCGTTATTTATCTGTTTTCCTCCTTTTTGTCCTTCATTGTTTTTTGGATGTTTCCCTGTGACTTCCTGCCTACTCTCTTTTCAAGAGCTATGGCCTGGACCAAGGCCTACTTGGTCCTAGAAGACAATTTTCCATATGTGTTTGTCTCTATTTTCACCTGATCCTCACCCCTCACCTCTACCCATTTATCTCAGCTTTGATCACCTAACTCATAGAATCATAGTCTTCAAGCTGGAAGAGACCTTTAGATGTCATCTAGTCCAACTTGGCACCCAATGCAGAAATTTCAAATACAGCATTTATGGCGTGGTTATCCTTCCTGTCCTTGAATACTTCCAGCACTGGAGGAGAGATCCCTGTTACACAAAGCAGCTTGCTAAACTGCTCTTGTCTCCATCTGTCTTAATTGGGTAAAAGAGTTTGCTAATTGTATGATTAGGAAAAGCCTTTTTGATTATGGCCCTAGATCTAGCTACACATCCAACTGAAAAAGGCTTCTCCTAATCATACGGTTAAGACTGGAGCTGGCATAGAATGTCCATGCCTGCTCCATGATCTGTCCAAGGCACTTCCATTCCAAGCCCTTGATACTCTCGTGGAAGTTGGTTCCTCAACCTCTCCACATGGAAAGACTTTCATCCCAGGTGATCTGTGCACAAACCATTTCCCAAGTGTTCTACACTTGGGTCAGACCCCAGTTACATAGGGATGGTGATGAGAGCCACAGGGAGTAGATTGGCACGCCTCTTCCAGAATAATGGCAGTGTTGATTTGATCATGATTCTAGAACTGAAGAGGGATGACGATACACTCCTGGTAAGGGTGTTCAGAAGATTGCCAAGGTACAGGAAGTGAAGTCCAGCATGGCAACCGTCTCCCTGAAACAGTGCCTGAAATACTGTTTTTCCTTTGGCTTCACTTCCAGTTTAATTGTTGACTTTTTCACTGTGCCTGGCACATAATAAGCACTTAATGATTGTACCTTGATTCTTAATCTCTCTTTAATATTCCACCATCTGAAGCAATTTATTTTGTTTATGATTATTCCCTCCACAACTTTACCCTTCCTCTTAAACACCTCTCCTTTTCTTTCCCTATCTTCTCTCTTGAATTTTATGTATTGCTACATTAAACTATGTGTGTCATCTGCTTTGTCTTTTTTCTTCCTTAGTATATTCCTTTCCCCCTCCCTATTCTGTCCTTTCTTAAGACCATCAATACAGAACAAAACTGCCTTCAAGACCTTGGTTCATTTTATTTAATTTCCTCTATGACCCTTGAAGATTATAAAGTGATCACTTGTCTCTTCTCCTCCTGTTCATCTAGCCCCTCCTAACTGCCTAAATTATTTATCTTCCTAGATTTCTCTTGACCCTCATGTTTACATTTCAAGGTTTCTATCAAGCTCTGATCTTTTCATCAAGAATGTTTGAGGGGCAGCTAGGTGGCACAATAAATAGAGCACAGGTCCTGGAGTCAAGAGGGCCTGAGTTCAAATGTGACCTTAGACACTTACTAGCTGTGTGACCCTGGGCAAGTCACTTAACCCCAATTACCTCAAAAAAAAAAAAAGAATGTTTGAAAGTCCTCTATTCTATTAAAGGTTCAGATAATTCAGTTTTGTAGAGTGAATTATTCTTGGTTGTAAGCTTTTATTTTTTGCCTTCTGGAATATTATATTCCAAGACTTTCTCTCCTTTGTAGTAATTTCTACCATGTCTTATATGATCCTCACTGTGGTTTCTTGCCCTTTGAATTTTTTCTTTCTGGCTACTTGTACTACTTTTTTATTCTTTGCCCTGAAACCTCTAGATTTTGGCTATGACACCCTTGGGAATTTTCATTTTGGGATTTCTTTCAGATGATCAGCAGGTTGTTTTTGCTGTCATTTTGCCCTCTAGTTCTAGTAAACATGGGGTGTTTTTACTTATGGCTTCTTGAAATATATTCAGGATTTTCATTGGGTCAAGGTTTTAAGAGAATATGATGATTATTACACTACTTGACATTTTCTAGGACATTGGTTTTGATAGTTACCTTATATTTTCTTCTGTGTGCTCAATCTTTCGATTTTATCCTTTCCCCCAAACTCAGCAAGTTTTTATTATGTACCTATTGTGTGACAGGCACTGGCTAGATACTAAGAATAGATAGGAAAGAGGAACTGGATAGGAGCTGTAAGCTATTTATTCTTCTTCCAGTTTTTTTTCCTACAGAGCTCTTATTTTATTAAAAAAAAACAACAAACTCTTACATCATTTCTTCCAAATACTCTTGTGGCCAAACTATTACTTATTGTAATATTTTCTTCTGCGTTTTCCTTTTGAGGATCTCTTCAATCATAATACTTCTTCATAGGGTTCAGTGTTTTCTTCTGTTATTCATATCTCCAACTTCGGTTCTGATCTGGGACTTTGTGCCAGGATCATGCTCTGTCCCTTCCCATCCACTTAGATGGTTAGTCGTCAGGCTCAGTTTGGACCTGAACTCAATTTCCTGAGTTCCTTCAACTGGCTTTTACCTTCTCTGACATGTCTGGGCATACCAGTAGGCATCAGTGTCCCCTGTTAGAGGTCTATGGTTGGCATCCCTAGAAGAGACACTGCTGTAGTCTTCTATCCCCACTGGGGCTTCCCTGGTCTGAGATGAACTGCAATCTTCTGTTCTTCCTAGAGTTTTCCTGTTGGAGCATTGCCATTGCCAGGTCTTCTATCCTGTTGGGGACTATGAGAATAGCTAATATATGTGTGTGTGTGTGTGTGTGTGTGTGTGTGTGTGTATACATATATATACATATATATACATATATATACATATATATACACATATATACATATATATACACATATATACATATATATATGTATATATATGTATATATGTGTATATATATGTATATATGTGTATATATATGTATATATATGTATATATGTATATATATGTATATATATGTATATATATGTATATATATGTATATATATATACATATATATACATATATATGTATATATATATATATATATATATATATGTATATAGCATTTGAGTTAACAAAGTACCTTAGATGCATTATCTAATTTGAATCTCACAATAACTTTGTTAGATAGATACAAGTATTGTCCATTTTACAGATGAGGAAACACAGGGTCAGAGAGGTTAAGTAACTTGTCCAAGGTCTATGCTTCACCAGTAAGTTGACTCACCTTGACTTTTATGCCCTACATTATGGCTAATAGATGCCTAATAGGACAAGTATATGAAGAATGCTAATTGCCTAGCTTATGATTTACCATTGGATGGAATTTGAATTAGTCTATTAGCCTGCTATGTCTTGGATAGTACTACAGATGGTCAATGGACAGGACCCAAAATTGAGTAGGAGGATAGAAGGCTTTATCCCTTTTGGGAAACTGCATAGTACTCTTAATGATACCCAGTGGCTCCCTGGTGCCAAAAAAACCCAAAGCAAAATCCCTTTTAATAATAGTATTCCCTTGCTATATGAATGTGAATCATAGAAAGCTGTACTTTCTGAAGAATCAAACTCATACATGAACCAAAAGGCAATGTAGATATGCATGGTGGGTATGAACATACTGCCATAGAAACTTTGTAGACTAGAATTAGTATAAAAAGATAGCATAAAGAATATGTAAGATTTAAAGAGGAAGTAAGCCTGTCGTGTATGATTGAGATGCAGGGATAATGTGCTGATGACCAGGAAATATTGAAATATCTATAGCAGGGGTTTTTAGCCTAGGGTCTATGAACTTTAAAAAAAAATTGATAGTTGCATTTATGTGTAATGGGTTTCCTTTGTAATCCTATATATTTTATTCTATGCTTTTAAGAACTTTATTCTGAGAAGGAATCCATAGGCTTCACCAGATTTCTAGCATGGAAAAAAAAAAAAAGATTAAGAGCCCCTCCTCTACAGTAAGGCCTCTGGCAAGTTGAGTAGATTGACTATTGGAGAATTATAGAAGGACTTGGATAAGAATAGCACAGGATAAAATGGTATGCATGGGTTATGATCTATGCCAACAGAGGGAATATCCACATTGATGAGATTGGGAACCCAATGAAAGATTATACTTAATACTCTACCCTACCCCAAGCAGGCAGTTATATACTCTTCCTTTCATCTCAAACTCCTTTATGAGTTTTTCTTAATTAGAAGATAAGAGTTTTCTTGTAATACCACCCTCTTAATCCAAATAGTTCCAATTCTTCCCCTTTGAGCACTTTATAATGTTGTAGCTTGCATTAAAGCCCTATAATGATGCTTCAGTGTGGCCTGATGAAGGCTAGAGTGGAGAAGTACCTGCTTTGGTCGAGCTAAGTTCAATAGGCTTTTTTGCATATGGGTCCAGTTCCAAGCAATCCTGTGAAGTGATCACATTATTTGAATTTGCATGGCATTTCTGCTGGGCTAGAACCAATGCACATATTTCACAAAACCATAACTTCAAATAGTGTGAATTAGAATACATATGACCACTTCTGAGGATTTATTGTTTGTACTAATCGGGACCTAGCAGCTGCTATTGTAGCTGACCGTTCATGAACACATGTTTGTTTCCAATAGCCAGAAATGTATTTAAAAAATGAATGTCTGAAACAACTGGGGAGAAAGCTTTTGTAATAGAATAGAAGCTTCATTAGAAGACTAGATCATGTTGACCTTTTCATAATAAGAAATGAAATTGCCCTCTAATAGATTTCTTCTTTGATGGTGCTTGTGTGTCCTAGAAAAAAGGAAGGGAGGATTCATTCTGAATTGCTTTGTGATTCCTAGAAGGACAATTTTTATCACTAGAATTATTGATAATATATAACCTTGAGAGCAGGAACTGGGTCTCATTTATTCTTGGATCTTTCTCCCACCCCCTGACACCTCCATCTAGCACAATATGTTATATATAGCAGGTGTCCATTTTAATGCCTGTTGAATGAATGAATTACTGGAATTTCTTTTCCCTCCGAGGGTAGAATGCCCACAATAATTAGCTATGGGTGCTTTTTGCGCTTCTCATTATATTTTACAGAATCCTACTGTTACTCTCTAATCTCGAAAGGAATCTGGGACTACATCTGCGCTGGCTGTATACTTCCCCCGGAAGCAAAACCTGTTTCTCACAGACCATGTCTTTCCTCCGCAGAGTCCAACCTGGGGCTAGAAATCAGCATTCATTGTCCATGTCATACCTTCCAACCTAATGGAGACATTCTGGAGAACATTCATGAGGTGATGGAGATCAAATTCAAAGGTAATAGTATATACAAAGCGGCCTGGGGAAACAAATTAGATGGGGAAGAATCTGGGCAAGATTCCAAGAACAGGAACCAAGGGCCCAGACACAGAACTGCCTGAGTATGTATACTATCTCCCAAATATATGGGACTGAACATTAGTCTAAGAATAACAACCCTTATTTAAAGGTTGTCAAATTACTTTTTTTCTTTTTCTTTTTAGGCAATTAGGGTTAAGTGACTTGCCCAGGGTCACATAGCTAATAAGGGTCAAGTGTTTTGTCTGAGGGCGCATTTGAACTCAGGTCCTCTTGACTTCAGGGCCGGTGCTGTGTCCACCGCGCCACCTAGCCATCCCTCAGATCACTTGATTCTCAACCTTGTGAGGTAGATGCTGTTATCTGTGTTTTGGTTTGGGTTTTGGTTTTTTCGGTTCATGGGTGTTGTTTTTTAACCAACAAGAAAACTAAGGCTCTAAAGGGTTGAGTGACTTGCCCTGGGTCACTGAGCTAGTAAATGTCTGAGGCAGGTTTCAATCCCAGGTTTTTCTGACTCCAAGGCTTCCATTATATCTGTTATTCTCAACCAACCATTTCTACCTTTTGCTTCTCTCAAGTTCATCTCTTCTACATGACAAACATTCTATAATACGAACTATTTATTATGCTCAGCAAGTGATTACTTTTCATCAGAAAGAAGACATTCTAGTAGTCAGGCATATGAATTGATCCATTCATTCAACAAAACTACAGGGGCGGCTAGGTGGCACAATGGATAGAGCACTGGCCCTGAAGTCAGGAGAACCTGAGTTCAAATCCGGCCTCAGACCAAACACTTAACACGTACTAGCTGTGTGACCCTGGGCAAGTCACTTAACCCCAATTGCCAAAAAAATAAACAAATAAATAATAAAAACCCAAAAATATATAAAGTTCCCATATGGTTCATGCCTGATAGTTTCGTGTATATATTGGGGCAGTTAGGTGGCATTCCTATCAGTGGATAGAATGCCCAGCCTAGAATTCGGAAGACTCATCTTTCTAAGTTTAAATCTGGTTTCAGACACTTAGTAGCTGTGTGCCCCTGGGTAAGCCACTTAACCCTGTTTGCCTCATTTTCCTCATCTGTAAAATGAGCTGGAGAAGGAAATGGCAAACCATTCCAGTATCTTTGCCATGAAAACCACAAATGGGGTCACGAAGAGTAGACACAACTGAAAACAACTAGATAAAACATATGTGTACAATGTTCCTAGGTTCTGTATTTTTTTATGCTGTACTTATATTTAAATGTGAAATATATAAAAATATATAAAAGCCATTTCTAAATATGTTTCTAGGAAACTTTGCTCAGATGTGCTACTAGTTTTCAGCTCAAGTTGCTATTTTTTCATTCATTTTCTCAGCTTTGGTGATTGAGGCATGCCTGAGGTCAGGCAAGTTGTCCAAAGCTGTGTTGACACAGTGGTTTGGCTAGGAGATGATACAGGAATCTCTTGGCTTCCTGCCCTGGGCAGTACTCTTAACCCCTATGGGTCCTGTTTCAGAGCTCCTTCTTCTAGAATGCCAAGGATCTGACAACTTAATCAGATAATCTCAGACTCACAGAGCTCTTGCAGGGAGATGTTGAAGGCTCGTATAATTCATAGCTTCTTTCCTATGGGCAAAGCCAGGAGTCTAGGTCCTCAAATGTGGCCCTTTGAAGTTTGGATTCAGTCAAAGGGCCGCACTTGAAGACCTTAGAGGGCCACATGTGGCCTCGAGACCACAGGGTCCCCACCCCTGGGCAAAGCTGTGCTTTGATCACTTCAAACTGGTGGATATTGACCATATTCTGAAAACATTTCTGAAAGGTGATTTTATTAACTGTTCTATTTATTCTAGGCAGGTAGGTGGTACAGCGGATAGAGCACTGGCCTGAAGTCTAGAAGATCTGAGTTCAAATCTGGCCTCAGACACTTACTAGCTGTGTGACCCTGGGCAAGTCACTTAACCTCTATCTGCCTCAGATTCCTTAATTGTAAAATGGGAATAACAAAAGCACCTACTTCCCAAGGTTGCTATGAAGATCAAATGAGATTATATTTGTATAGCACCTGGCTCATTGTAAACACTTAATAAATGCTTATTTCTTTCTCCCCTCTTCTGTTTTTCTATCACTACCATCTCACAATCCTTACAGTCTAATCACCCTTCCTAAGGTCTGATTCCAACTTGTAGCCCCATAAATGAGTTTTCTCTTTTCTTTCAGTATAGAAGAACATCTGATAGCTATTCTCTATTAAAAAATGTCTTCATCAGTTTGACAGCATTATTAAGTCATGTTTCAGCCTTCTCTTTTTCCAATGAAGAAGTCCCAATTCTTTTCTGTTTTCTTCACAATTATTATTTTTCAATCTTGCTTATCCTATCAGTTATCTTACTCTGGACCCCTTCCATCAAATGAAAGGATACCTGTATTCACATTTTATAAACTATAAAGCACAATGTAAGTATAAATTGTCATTATCAATGTCCAAGTTCTCTTTTCTAACATAATATTTTATTTTCCCCCAATTACATGCTAAAACAATTTTTAACATTTGTGTTTTTTTTTAAGTTTTGAGTTACAAATTCCATTCCTCCCACACCCCCTTCCCTCCTCTCTTCCTGAGTGAGCAATCCAATATAGGTTATACATGTGCAATCATGCAAAACATTTCCACATTATTCATTGTGTATAAGAAGACTTGAACAACAACAAAAAGAGAGTGAAAATGGTATGTTTCAGTCTGTATTCAGACAATATCAGTTCTTTCTCTGAAGGTGGATAGCATGTTTCATTATGAGTCCTTTGGGATTGTCTTGGATCATTGTATTGCTGAGAATAATTAAGTCACTTACAGTAGATCATCATACAATATTGCTATTACTGTGTACAACGTTCTCCTGCTTCTGCTCATTTCACTTGCATCAGTTCATGTAAGTCTTTCCAAGTTTTCTGAAACATCCTGCTCATCATTTCTTATAGCACAATAATATTCCATCACAATCATATACCACAGTTTGTTCAGCCATTCCCCCAATTGATGGACATCCCCTTGATTTTCAATTCTTAGCCACCACAAAAAGAGCTGCTATAAATATTTTTGTACAAATAGGTCCCTTCTACTCTTTTTGGATCTTTCTGGGGTACAGATCTAGCAGTGGTATTGTTGGACCAAAGGGTGTGCACAGTTTGATTGCCAAACTTTGGGCATAGTTCCAAATTATTCTCCGGAGTGGTTGGATCAGTTCACAACTCTACCAATAATGCATTAATGCCCCAGTTTTCCCACATCCCCTCCAATATTTATGATTTCCCCTTTTTGTTATATTAGCCTATCTGAAAGGTGTGAGGTAGTACCTGACAGTTATTTTAATTTGCATTTCTCTAATCAATAGTGATTTAGAGCATTTTTCATATGACTATAGATAGCTTTGATTTCTTTGTCTAAAAACTGCCTGTTCATGTCCTTTGATCATTTATCATTTGAGGAATGACTTGTATTCTTATAAATTTGACTCAGTTCTCTATATATTTGAGAAATGAAGCCTTTATCAGAGATACTTGTAAAAATTTCCCCTCAGTTTTCTGCTTTCCTTCTGATTTTGGTTGCATTGGTTTTGTTCGTGCAAAAACATCTAAATTTTACATAATTGAAATTATCTATTTTACATTTTGAAATGCTGTCTATACCTTGTTTGATCTTAAATTCTTTGCTTATCCATAGATCGAATGGGTAAACTAGTCAATGCTTTCCCATTTTACTTATGGTAGTACCCTTTGTGTGTAAATCCTGTACCCTTTTTGACCCAGGTTCTCTTTAGTTGTGACATCTTAGAAAACACAGAGCACTCTAGTGATATATGGAACAATGCCAGGTATAGTTGGGAACAGAAGATAGCAGGGTGATACAGTAGCTGTCTTCAATATTTGAAGGGCTCTTATGTGATGAAGAAATTTGACTTACTCTTGTTGGTGCTAGGGAATATAACTACTGCAATGAGTGAAAGTAGAAGAGAGACAGATTTGGGTGCCATAAGTAGAGACTAGACCTGTGATTTCATTAGTATAGGGAACTCTGGAGTGAGGAAAGCTTGCTTAAACAACTTCCTCTGCAAGTCATAGATGCCTGGAGCATTGCATTAAGTGATTTGTCCAGAGTCATGCCACCAAATATGTGTCAGTGGAGCAACTTGAACCCAGGACAACCTGACTTTGAGGGCAGCTCTTTATCTAGTGTTGTTGCCTCTCATGTAAGAACTTTCTCATAATTAGAGCTGTCTAAATATAGAACGGGCTGCTTCTTTATGGAAGGTGTTCACATAGAAGCTAGGACAAAAGCTTGTTGGAGGATGTTGCAAGGTTGGACTATGTGTGCTCTGAGATCTCTTCCAGCTCCTTAATTATGAGGGATATCATCTCAGGATTATCATCCAAGAATGTTGCCTCCCAGGTGATAGACTCAATGAACAATAGATGCATGAGTATTCACAAGTAGCACTGAGCTTAGAAGCCAACATCTTAGCAATCTCTATCTGTTCCATGGGCATTCACATACATAAATCTTGAGGAGTATACATCCTTATGTTAGCATAGGCTTTTATGTCTTTACCAACTATGTTTAATACTGTTTATATATAAGAAGCATTTCCTTTTAAAATGTTTATTGCTAATCTTTTTTTTATATTACCTACGTTTCCCAAGATGTCCCTTCCTTTCCTCTTTCAGAAAACTCTTTCCTTTGTAACAAAGAAGAAAAAAACAAGAACCATTCCAGGAAACTAACTATTAACCAAACCCAACATTATATTCAGTGTTCTATACCGATAGTCATTCCACAAAAAAGGGAAGGAGGTTAATTCATTAGAATGTAAGCTCCTTGAGGCCATTCTTAGTCATTATAGTTACCTAACTTTGTTTTGATTTGCTGTTGTTTCTTTTTACATGGTTGTAGTTATTTTGTACATTGTTTTCCTGGTTCTGCTTACACACCTTTAATTAGTTCATGTAAGTTATGCCATGCTTCTCTGTATTCTTCATATTCATCCTTACTTATTAGGCAGAAGGTAATTCCATTACATTCATATACCATGATTTGTTTTGCCATTCCACAACTGATGAGCATCCACTTTGTTTTGAGGTCTTTACTTCTACATAAAGTGCTACTCTAAATATTTTGATTGCAGATGGTATCTTTCTTATTCTCTTAAAAATTCTTGGGCATATGCATAGCAGTAGAATCTCTACTCTTGTGCCACTATTTTGCTACTTGAATGAAATGGATGAGGGGTTTAAACCCACCCTTCCAAAATAAATCATTACCACCTTTTCAGTGCATAGTTTGAGCCAGAATGAAAGAAAAAGGAGTCTAATTGCTAAAACAAGTCACCAAATGTCTCTACCTTTTGCTTCTTTCAAGTTCATCTCTCTTAAATGATGAACATTATATAATTCTTTCCATTTAGGTGTTGACAGTGAGGAAGATTATGGGCGTGGAGATCTTGGGCGACTGAAGAAACAGAAAGATCACCACAATCCACATTTGATTTTGATGATGATTCCTCCACATCGCCTTGACAGTCCAGGCCAGGGAGGCCAAAGAAAGAAACGGGCTCTTGATACCAACTACTGCTTCAGGTAATCTTCAATCCACCTGGGAAGTTATCCTTGTCAAAAACATCAAGTTGTTTGAAGGCAGATACCTTTGAAGGGGTCAGTAAGGAAAAAGAAGAGTAATATCTGAGAATAGTGGACAGAGAGTCAGAGTCAGAAAGGCCCAGTTTCAACCCTGGCCATGTACCATAGGCAACTCTCTATGACTGAGTTACAGAAGAATTGCTGATCTGTTTTAGAAAAGGGAGTTACCACAGAGTTCTCTAAACCAGTTAAATCACAGGTCCAGCCAGAAAACCAGAGAGACAGAGAGACAGAGGGAAGAAAAGAGGGAAGGTAGTTATGCTTAGCATGGATTCGTTTTCTTTCCAGAATTTTCATGTCACGGTAAGTATTTGGAGAAAAAATGTGGTAACAATTTGTTTCTAAATAAGTTCTTAGATCCCTATGAAGGGTTATAGGGAGAGGAGAGTCCCAGAAAAAAAAAATAAGACAGATATAGGGCTGCCTTATTTATAAGAGGTTATGAGCCAAAAAAGAGCTATCACCTGTCGCTAAGGAAGTATGAGCACTATTAAATGTTGCTTTTTCTTAAAGTACGAAATTTTATAGTTCTTTCTTAGTCAGTGTGGCTCAGGGACATACCATTGACCAGATCACACGTTCTGGTGTTTGAGGTCCTTTAGGTACGAGGGGACTCCCAGTGTGGAAACTCCCTTTACCAATGCAGATAGGCAACTTGTCTGGAACATATGGCCTTTGACAGCTATCTGGGGCACTGGATTTTAAGTGACTTTCCTATAGTTACCCAGCTAGTATGTCTTCCTGACCCTAAGCTCAACACTGCCATGTTCTCTCTAAGGAACTCATTAGAAGAAATATTGGGCAATAGCATTTGACTAGGTGGACTGTTGATTCAGCCTAAACATCCATTTACCATATAACATAAACTAGGCAGGGCTGTGTCAGTTTCTGGAAGCGTCATTTGAAGATTGTCAATAGGGCCATCCTCAGAAAGGCCGTCTGTTCATAATGTCTAGAACCTGATCTGGCAAGAAATTCTTCTGTTTGTATAACCTTTCGATAGGCTGTATAGACTGGGCAGGGCCACTTTTACAGACTCATCTTCTTTTTAAGACATTCTGTATCTACCCACTGAGCAGATAGGTGGTGCAGTGGATAGAGTGACGGGCCTGGAGTCAGGTAGACTCATCTTCTTGAGTTCAAATCCTGCCTCGGTTACTTACTAGCTGTGTAACCCATGGCAAGTCACTTACCTTTGTTTGCCTCAGTTTCTTCATCTGGAGAAGGAAATGGCAAACCACTCCAGTATCTTTGACAAGAAAACCCCAAATGGGGTCAGATACAGTGGAAAAATGACTGAACTGAACATATCCACTAACTGGATATTTGGGGCTCTAGTTGACTACTTAAGGAGGGATCTTATCAGTTGCTCATTTAACACATTTGAGTCTTTTCTTTTGAAAAATATCTGAAAATACATGTCAAATTCAATACCACAGACTTTCTACCTCTCTGAAAAGGACCATAACAGGAACATGTTTGAGTCTTAACCAGCAGAAATTTTCTTAATGGCTGTTAACTTGGTGTTTTCAAGCTCATTTCTCTTTAGTGAAATTCCTTTTATTTGGAGCCTCTTTCTGGATTTTTAGATGTAAATGTTTTGTTTCAGGAATTTGGAGGAGAACTGTTGTGTGCGTCCTCTCTACATTGACTTCCGACAAGATCTGGGCTGGAAGTGGGTCCATGAACCTAAGGGCTACTATGCCAACTTCTGCTCAGGTCCTTGCCCATACCTCCGAAGTGCAGACACGACTCATAGCACGGTACAGGAAATGTTTCTTATTCTTCAGGTTCTGAAGGTTTAACCACATTTCAAGTACATTTCTTTGGGTCTGATGATCTGTGCCTGGGTCCCTGGCACTGACCTTCTGGTTAGCCTCTTCCTAATCACATTTGACCCCTCAAATTCCCTCCATGGTTCCAATCAGGAATGGCAGACTGTTTTATTTCTGCTTTGTCTATAATTTTCAGGGTGTGGGATTAAAGAACCTTCACATTTTTACCCTAGATGATAGGATCACAGGATCATAGCTGTAGAACTGGAAGCAACCTCAGAGGCCATAGAGTTCAGTTGTTTCATTCGCGAGGACCAGAGATGCCATGTAACTTGCTCAAGGTCACACAGGTAGCAAGTTTTAATGGTGCATCAGAGACTCCTGAATAGAGTAGGCAAAGCACTTTGAGGTGAGAAGTCCTCTCAGATCAGCAAAAAAATTGAGATTCTATTGCCTTGCAAGTGACTATCTTCAAAGATCAGTGATTAGAACAGTTCTAAGGGAAGGTAATTTGAAACCTAGAGATGAAATTGTGGCCAGAGACTGAGGAGAGAGAGCTGCCTTGAAGTTTGCCTGTGAATTTTTTTCCATGTGAGGGGGAGGAGGAAAAATGTGCCGAAATTAATGGAGAGGGGCTCTCCATTGCACATTGTTAACGCCAGGCCCCAGGACCCACAAATGGTCACTGGTTGTTAATCTTCTTTGTGTCATAGATCCCTTTGGCAGTTCTGGTGAAGCCTATGGACCCCTTCTCAGAGTAACATACGATAAGTATGAAGGGATTCAGTGATAGTAAAATAAAGATGTGATTTTTTTCCCTCAGTTCAGGACCCCTTGAAATGGGTGGACCCCAGGTTAAGAACCCGTGATTTAATGGGATGTCTTAGAGCCAAGAAACTTAAGACTTCATCTAGTTCAACTCCCTCATTCTACAGAAGAGGAAACTGAGGTCTGTGCAAGAGCCTACAAAACCACTGAAGAACTGTTCTCTTAAAAATGAAATTTATGGGGCAGCTAGGTGGCACAGTAGATAGAGCACCGGCCCTGGATTCAGGAGACCTGAGTTCAAATCTGGCCTCAGACACATAACAATTACTAGCTGTGTGACCCTGGCAAGTCACTTAACCCCATTGGCTAACCAAAAAAAAAAAAAGAAATTTACCTTATTTAGACAATGTAAAGTGTGGAGAGGATAGTCACTCAGATAGTTCTGGTGAACTCAATTGATAGCTCTTAAACAGACCTAATGCAGATGGCTTTTTCTGTTGTGGACGAACATTGGTCGCTCATTCATGCAGATATATATTTAAAAGGAAAATGAGTAAAACCCCTTTAAGCAGCACATATGGCTGCTTTATCGCTTGTTCTGAGAGAGAGAGAGAGAGAGAGAGAGAGAGAGAGAGAGAGAGAGAGAGAGAGAGAGAGAGAGTGTTCATGGTACAAAAATCATCTGGGCTTAGCCTAGTGTTGTATGCTTGATCAGGACTTGGCTTCCTCACACATGTGAAAACATCTCTTCACAGGTGCTGGGGCTGTATAATACACTAAACCCTGAAGCATCCGCTTCACCTTGTTGTGTGCCCCAAGACCTGGAGCCTCTGACCATCCTGTACTATGTTGGGAGGACCCCCAAAGTGGAGCAGCTATCTAACATGGTGGTAAAATCCTGTAAGTGCAGCTGAAATGCTGCCAGCCCTTCCTGCGACCAAGAGAGAATGAGAGAGAGAGAGAGAAAAAAAATGAAACCCAACACAACTGTTACTGTGGAACTGCTCCTAGGGAAACACAAGAACAGACTTCACCTAGAGACCGGGAGACCACAACCGTCAGCCCTGGACCAATTGCTGAGACAGAGGCTCCCTTTTGGAACATTTTCTTTCTTGCTAGCTCTGACAATGACTGTGGTGAAAAAAAAAGTGTGGGTTTGGCTAGAGGAAAACCAGTGTCTCCAAAGTACTTGGATTTTTCTGTGATGCTCTTTGTGGATGGTAGGGAGAGAGAGGAATCTGGCAAGTCAAGGGATTTGCTATGTTACAATTGAGGGATAATGTGGGGAAAGGGAGAGAAAGTGTAGAAAATGTCTGAGAGGGAATGACATTTTTGATCTGAATTTAGGTTGCTGCTGCCTGTCTGTCCTTGGGAGTCTCGATTTCATTTTCTTGAAGCCACACAAGGCAAGCCTTTTCTTTCATATAGATCACCAAGAAGGGAAAATTCCCCAAACTGTACTCTTACTGCCTGGGATCAGGGACAGAGTTGCTACTTTTGCCAACTGTCCCTCCTACATCCATCACTTTGCATCCTTGGGGCAATAGAGGGATATAACCCATCTAAGAGAATCCCTGAGTAAACAGTTGAGCCCTGTGAGTATGTTGAGCTCAGGAGCAGAGGGCTAGCTGACGGCATCATAACTAAGAACTAATTCTCTCTGTTTGCCTTCTGGGCAGTTCCTCTCACTCTCTTCCTCAATCCACTCCCCCTTAGAGTTTTTGCTAGACACCTTCCAGGTTAGGATGGTCATATGGGCTTCAGATCCATGCAGCCATGGGGTGCCATGGGCTCCCCACCCTAGCTCCCAAAGACCTTGTGTTCATTGGCTGATCCTGGAAGTAGGTACTGTGGCACATGTAGTATTTGGGGGAAATCTCATGTGTCTCTTATGCATTGATTGACCTGGCCCTTGACTCACCTGGGCTGAGGTTTTTAAACACAAACACACACACACACACACACACACACACACACACACAAATATTACTCTCAAAACCTTTGTATAAATAAATATTTTGGGGGGAACTTGAATCACTTCATCTTCTAGGAAATAGCTCATGGAACATTAAAAACTTTGTTCCTAGGTATAATCTTTATGTAATAGAGACCCTCTTATCCCTATTCCGCCTCTACCACTCAAAGTAAACTGGAACCTGGAACAGAGGATCTTAAACTCTAATAACATTGCTTTAGCATGAATGCACTGGGGTCATACTGCCTCTGAAATAGGCATTCTGTATTGTAATGCCTGCTCCCATGATGGTGCTCCAAAGTATTATACACTCTTACTACTAATGAGGAATTCTCTCAGATATAGAGAATGTCAGTTGGTCAGAAATCTGTCCCCTAATAGGAAAGACAGATATAAACATATTCACCTATATATGAACACTTGCATATAAGAATATGCTTCCATGTATTCAATCACTATTCCAACATTTCTGCAAAGTCACCAGAAGATCAATTCAAATGTTTATGACAGATGGCCTAAGAACGCAGTGATCGTGGTGTCCTGAGTACAGACTGGAAATGACTAACCAGGAATACCTTGGAAAAAAAAAAGGTGCCTATGGACAGTGTTTCTAGAACTAGAGACAAAGGAATGCTCATTGCTTTAAATCCAGAGAAGCCTAGAATTCTATTTTGGCATTGACTCTTAAACACCTACCAGGCTGTCATCACAGCAGGAGTGAGGCAGCCTTTGTCTCATCCTGGAAACGACGTTCCTTGCAGCACTGAGATCACCTTACCCAGTGGTAAAGCAAAAACATAAACATCAAATGCTAACATTTATAAATTCTCTTTTAATAGAAGACATAAAGAGTTTAGGGTTTGGATGTTTGTTTATTTTTTTTTTATTTTTTTTGTTTTGTTTGGGGTTTTATTGTTATTATTATTATTATTATTATTATTATTTTGGTTTTTGATAACCCCTTCTGGGGGGTTCTTGTATGCTGAGCTGCCATGGAAATCTTTAGTTGCTATCCTTCTATTTCTGCTTTGGCCATGGCCAGACTGCACAAGGTTTCCTCAACTTGATGCCACACCAAGGAACATCAGGCGGCTGCATTTCATTCAGTACCTTAAATTCCCAACATCTCAACCTGCCTTCCTAACAACAGGTGGTCATTTATCTCCTTTTACGAAGGAGATGAAGAGGTGACAGGGTGGTGGCTGGTCCGAGATGAGGCCAGACTAGCTGTATGGGCCTGAGAACTGAAAGTTGTTCTCCCAGAGAACCAGTTTGGAACTCTACCCACTACCTCTCATTCTGGCTGGTCTTGAGGCTACATTCAGAGATCAGGAAGAGGTAAGAAAAAGTGAGGGTCTTCTTGCCACTCACTTGTCCCTCCTCACTCCCTCCCACCCTCCAAACATCCCCTCCCCTAGGAAGGCTTCCCTTTATTTAATCCAGCCAGCCCTGCCCCAAGGAACCCTGAAATAGCCGACTGTGGGTCACCTCCTGTAGGCGTGGGAGAGACTTCATATGAAATGTAGCTAGTTGTAATTCTTGTGATATCCCAAAGAAAACATATGACAGTGTGATTCCAAAGATATTTTTAATGGAAGAAGTCTTCTCTTGCCTTAATCACCACATGCAAATACGAGCAGGGATCTGGTTGCCAGGATCGCAACTACGTACACCATTTACAGGGACTATAAAAACGTGAATAACTAACTCTCCATTTTCATACATACATATTATTTATGGGGGTTAGGGTGTAAAAAAGAGCACCAGACACATTACCATAGCCACGGGAGTGAGCGGGGAGGAGGACTGCATGGACTATTTAGCTTCTTGTTATGAGCTGCCTGGTACCAACAAAACTACTTGAAAGGACTTGGATAAGTGAAAGGACGAGATGTGAAGGCTCATATCAGCACCTGCAAAGTCAGGAAGAACACTAAATATGCCACTCGGACTTGATTATTTTCTTAAGAAGTTCTGAACAGTCCCATTAATCTGCAACCCTTTGTCGTGGGCCTTGGATCTCCATTCACAAATATCATTATAGTAGATTCCAGATAACCCCTTTATTCCCAAACCTTCATAACTAAGGGAATGACAGAACTCTATTTTGTCCCCCAACCTAATTCATGGTTGAATGGAAAGAATCACAATAGACGTCCCTCAAGCTAGTATCCTGGGCACCAGTAACCTCTGGAACACATGCCTGCTCCCTTCACTATAACAAATAGATCTTGTCACTTTAAGTGATTTTTTTTTAACAGAGGCAAAAAAAAAAAATGCATCAAACCCTTTGTTTTCATTCATTAAAAAGAATTTTTGAAAGCTGCTCACAGTTAATCAAGTCTCTTTTCTTTGTCTTTGTTGGAGGTGATTTTCATTTTTTGAGTTTCCAACTCTGGTCTGTCACACCTCATTTCATAGCCCTGCAATCTGGAACATCCTACATTTGGCTAGATGGCGCACTGGCTGTCACCATGGTCAGGAAACACCGCCAAGCTCCCCCTACAACATGGCAGAGCTAGGGAGAGTGACTTGTTGTTGGAAGTCACAGATGATACAGAAACCCCCAAAGTGGCTTGAGCCTAAAACTCCACACTGCAGTTTAGGGCCTCGTTCAGGAAAGCGCTGACAAAGAAGCAGGGGAAAGTGAGGAAGCAAGAAAGCAGAGAGTTAACATGTGAAACGTATTAGGTCCACTCGGTGAATGTATTGCACTGTTTATGTAAACAATTTAGCGTGAGGGAGAAATGAATGTGCAGTTCAAGAATGGTGTCTAACTCAGTCATCTGTCATGGCCTGATGGGGAGACCTTTGCGCAGTTATGAACCCCCTTCCACACCACCTCCTGCCCCTGACCCAGCTCATAAGCTACCATTGAGGTGTATGACCATGACTACATTCTGTCTCAACAAAACCTAAAATCAAAATATACCAAGGTAACACACATTTCTAAAATTAAAACTTTTAAATGCCTAGCAATTAAATAAAAAGTTGGTCACATTTCAGTTTCATTTGCGAACGAATAATGATTGGAGGGAAATTAGTTAAGTGGAAAAAATAAAACAAAAATAGAATTACTTTATCAATATTGAAAATCAGTAATTCTAAAATGGTGCTTTACCTTGGTTCATGTGGTCAACACACTAGCCTTTCTCCAACCACTGGTTGACATGTTATGTGCGCCCTTTCTCCCTTAATACCCTTTGTAAAGGGATTATAAACTTTGTTAGTGATGATGTTTGTTTCTAGGGTTATATAAAATAGAAGCTTGATAATGAACCTAAAAAAAGCAGAAGCAAAATACAAATAGCCAATGAGCCTCTGTTTTATATCATCTCTGCCTGGAGAAGGAAGATCTAGGCAGGTGGGGGGAAGGGAGGGAGAAGATAAAAGGGAAGGGGAAAAGGTACACTTGTGGCTCTGTCAGAGACAATCAGTTGAACTGCACACTGTCAAGTTCCACCAGAACGCAGCTCATCTTTTCTTCAATTGCCCCAGGCTAGGCTCTTTTAGACTGGTAGGGAGAAATCTGCTGCCACCTTGGTGTGGGGTTGATGATGAGGATTGGAACAAAGATAGACCCTTTGTAGCTATGATGGCTGTTCCATCCTTATCTTTCTACCCCGTGGTGTTGAACGGTTTCTTGCTCCATGTCAGTGGTTCATCACGGGTTGTAAGCAGGAGCTGCAAAGACAAAGACTCAAAGTTTAAGCAACCGCACTCATAGGGAAGTAGATTTGTTTTCTGCAACACCTCATTGATCCAGCATAATCAGGGAATGGGATATATATAAGTGAATTTTCTGGATAACCTGGCATGCTCCTTTGGGCACTAAAACTTTATAAAAAATTTTTTTTAAAAATCACTTTTGATAACCAGCTTTCTAAAGTATGCTAAACTGTTCACTGCCTTCTTAGAGGATACCAATCACACTTTAATGTTTTCTGGATAACTCAGTCATCAGTATAAGCATTTATTATATAAAATACTACTATATATCAAACTGTATACTATACAGTTTTGCATTTGCTTTTTTTTTTTTAAAGTTCTTCTGTTTCTTCCCTCAATGTCAGTCTGTGATGGCTTTCATTTCTCCTACCGGCAATGTACTTGTCTGTAAGGCTTACTCCCTGCTCCTCCTCCTGCCATTAATAATTTATTGTGGGCTAGAAAAAACAGACAACCAAATTTATAAACTTCATTCTTTCTAACGAGGGTCCCAGGATCCAGTTACTCAGCCGTGCAACCTCAGACTCATCCTTTACTCCTCCTTCTCCTTCACGATATCCACACTGAAGCAAGTGCCAAGTCTTGTCCATTCTGACACCTCCCAAAATACACCTCATCCCCTTGTTTCTACTCATTCAGCCACCACCTTGGTTCAAATCTTCATCATTTCTCACCTGCACTATTATAACGTGTTCCTGCTTCCAATATCTCCCTTCAACAATCCATCTGTCACAAAGTTGTCAAATGAATATTCCCGAGAATGGTTTGACCATGTCACTCCTCTGATGAAAAACTTAAGGGGCTTCCTATTGTCTCCAAGATAAAATAAAATTCCCCTTGCCTGGCAATTAAAGTCCTCTACAAACTGGCTCCCAACCCACTTTTCTAGGCTTACTTCATCTTACTCCTCTTAATCAATTCCATGTTCCAGACAAACTCTACCTTCCAGACTTCTATCTATTCCTGTTGTTGTTCAATTATTTCAGTTGTGTCCGATTCTTCATGACCCCATTTGGGGTTTTCTTGGCAAAGAGCCTCTGTTTTATATCATCTCTGCCTGGTAGCAGAAGAGGGAGAAAGAAGACCTAGGCATATGGTGGGGGGCGGGTAGGGAGAAGAAAAAAGGGAAGGGGAAAAGGTACATTTGTGGCTTTGTCAGAGAGAATCACTTCTTGTCTGGACTATTGTAATGTCTATCTAATTGTCTCCAGTCTCTTATTTCTTCAAAGCTGCCAAAATAATCTTAAAGCACAGGTTTTATCATATTACTCCCTTACTTGAGAATCTTCAGTGGCTCCCTATTGCCACTAGGAGAAAATACAAATTCCTTGAGTTAGCCTTTAAAGTCTCAACAATAGGGCTTCATGGGGCACCTAGAGAGCACAGTAGATAGAGCACTGGAGTCCTTGAAGTCAGGAGGACCTGAGTTTAAATCCAGCCTCAGACACTTGCCCCTGTGCAACTCTGGGCAAGTCATTTAACTCTGAGTCCCCCCAAAAGATATAACTCACATTAAAAAAAAACCCACAATATGGCTCCATCCTAACTTTTTCACTTTTTTTTTCACACTCCTATCTTTCACATATTCTATGTTTCAATAACTTGGATTACTTGCTTTTTCCAAAACTTGGCATTCCATTTCTTAATCTATGCCCTTGGATAGGCAGTCACTCATACCTGAAATGTATTTTCCTCACTTCTACTTTTTTAGATCTTTAAGTTTCTTTCAAGACATCTCAGGTATCTTCTCCTAAAAAAAACAAAACTCCAAAACTTTTCCTGATTCTTACCATTAATGTTCTCCTCAAATCTTCTATTTACTTACTTGTTTACATGTATTTCTGAACAGAATTTGCATTCATAAGGACAGAGACTATTTGTCATTTTTTGTATTCCCTGAGCCTACCATGATGACTTCTACCGTAACAAACGCATAAGACGTGTTTGTTGGATTGAACTGAATTGTAAGAACAACAAAATTGTAAGGGCAGAGGAGGCATGATTTGTATTTTTTGTATATCCTCCACAGTTGCCTAGAACAGTGGCGTTCACATGATGGGTATTTTACAAAGAACTGTTGATTGACAGACATGTGAAATTATAAATAATAATGTTTCCTCAAGAATAGTAAAATATTTTCAATTTAGGAATTTAAAATGGTTTCCCAATGCCAACTAGGCCCTCTAAGGCAAATAGGAATCAAGTGTTACAACTTCCTAGCAAGTCTAGAACACTTAATTTCTAGCCAAGTATTCCAACCACTAGTCATCTGTCCCAAGAAAAGAATCACCTTGCTCCATGTCCATGTGCAGCTTGGCCTGTGACTATTAGCTCAGAAAAGACCCAGACCTGGTAACAATCTTTTCAGTTAGTTTGTTTTGTGTTTCAAGAAGTATTGAAAGATAAACACTTTAACAATGCACTCAGTTTGTCTTTGATGTCAGAAGATGATCATGGAATAACATTTTACAATGGAAATCAATTAATTCAAAGAGAAAGATTATTTTTAAAATTCATTATAAGCAAGGGGAAGGTAAATGATATCTGTATTTAAGGCCCTTCCAAATGCCCAGGGCTTGTGATATGCTGGTCTGAAAAGAGACAGAGTGAATGAATCAACTTTATTTATATCATGAGTGAGTGACAATGGCAAAAAGGGACAGCTGGGGAGCAGAGTCCAACCTGCTGCCCTGTCACCTTTCTGGGAATGGCTCCAAAGAATTGGATTGAACAGCACAGGCACGAGAGCATCAGATCCATTTCATGAAACCCAGCCTGGGTGACACTCAGGCGCCAAGCACAGCTGCAAGGGGTATTGTTCAGGGCGAGAGAAGTCGCTGAGTAACTCCAAAATGTGCCCATGGGGGGAGGAGAAAGGAGCTAAATAATCATCGCAGCACCACAAAACTCCAACCTAAACCCCTACAATTTTTCTTTTTTTTGGAAAAATTTTTACTATTATGAACTTGAGAAACCTTACAAAATAAAGAACCTAATGAACATTCCACTCTAAATAATTACACCACTCCAAATTATTTTCCAATCTTTGGAAATGCACCTATATATGTTTTTACTTAGGTTTACATGTACCATTTTAGATTCTGCTTTTCCCTTGTTTCATATTTCATATATATATCTTCTCATATATCAAGAAGAGAGAGTGGAGGACTATAATGACATGGGTAGGAAAAGGAAGAAGAAATTGCAAAAGAGACAAAACAGGGAGCAATCGGAGCATTAAGAGAAGAACTAGGGTCATGGAAACCAAGAGAGATTCAAGGGGATAAGAGAGGTGTCTGATATCAAATGCTATACAGAAGGGGCATACTGTTCCTAAAAGGCTGAATGTAAAGAAGGTTGGGTTTTTTTTATAAGTTCAATAACACCTTATATTTGTCTAGCACTTTAAAGATATATTTGTTATCAGCAATCTTTAAAATAAATTTCTGGTTACATGGAGCTATGGACCTAATGGGGTTGGAAGGGGTCTCAGAAATCATCTAGCACAACCTCCACCACAATCAATCATCCTGTTTAAAACTTTCCTAATAAAGAGTGATCCAGTCACCACTGGAAGGCCTTCATAATAAACTCTTACACTTTTTAAGGTAGCCCATTCCATTAAAAATACTTTTTATTGATAAATTATGTTTTAACATCATGTCAATCTGACATATTCTTAATAGAATTATCCACAATGTACAACCTCACCCCACAATAGTGAAAAGAAAAAAATAAAGCTATAATAGTGATGGATAGTACATGCAACTTTATATTTTCATAGTTTTCTGCTAATTAGAAGGATGGCATGTGCTTTATAAGCTAGTACCAATGTTTTGTTATCTATATTTCGTTCCTATTTAAATTTATCTTCATTGACACAACTGTAGTAACTGTGTTCTCCTGGTTCTGCTTTGTTCATCCTGAATCACTGAACAAAAGTCTTTCCATTTATCTTTGATTCTTCATTTTATACATTTCTTATGACAGGCAGTAATACTTAGCACAATACTTTGTGCACACTAAGCATTAATAAATCCCTGTCAATTTGACAACTCCATCCGTGCATCACAATTTGCACTGCCATAACTCAAGTTAATAAACACAGTTCCTACCTCTCCCCACTTCCATTTAAAAATAAAAAATTACACATGTGCTTAGACAAATATCTCTGTGCAGATAGGAATCCATTTTAGTTGTCAATAACTTCCTTATGGCATAAACTCAAAAGTAGAGTCATTGGGTCAAAGAGTACGTGTTTAGAATTTTTGCATTTGCCTTCTTGCAGTTGTTTATGAATTCTTTGGGTCCTGGAACATGATCAGTTTTTGGTTAAGATCCATGGGAATTTGAATGATATGTATATACTTTAAGTTTTCCATTCTGAAATTTCCATGGGACTATCAAATCTAGTTCCACTAACATTTTTTCTTATAATTTCCTTCTTATTTATCTGTTTTATGGTCTTTGTCAAGACCTGAAAGAAAAACATTACAATCACTTATAACTGGTGTCTTAGAAAGATTTTTTAAAAATCAGTAATCTTTTCCTTCATTACTATGCTATTTGGTGCATATATAATGTTGATAATGCTCAATTATTCACAGTACCTTTAATCATGCCAGAGTTTCCCTCCTTATATTTGTTGTTACCTCATCCGAAATCATCATGGCAACTCCTGCTTTTTCTGGATTCAGCTGAAGTATAATAGATTTTATTCCTGACCTTCACCCTGAATCTATATAAATTCCTAAGCTGAAGATTCCTAAGCAGAAAATTGTTGGATTTTGCTTTCTAATTGATTATTTCTTTTTAATGCTGACTCTAACTCATCAACATTCAAGGTTATAACTGTTATGTTTTCTACTCCATGAGATCCTGTTATATTCCTTTTTATCAATACAACAGCACATATTTTAAAAAATCACCTATGTCTTATTTCCTGTATTAATGTA